CGGCCTAATAGAATTGTCACATCTGCGTCTCAGCCATTTACAACGCGTTCTCGCCGGGTCTGAACATGAAAGCAATTATGTGATACAGACTTTGGCAAGAACCTGAGGTGCCCAGCCGGGCGGGGGAGAAACACGGAGGGTTCAGGTTATTTAAAAAAAAAAGAAGAAGAAAGAAAGAAGAAAAGCCACAAAAACACATTCATTATGAAATTTTGAAAATTTCCACTTGCCTGGAAATCACACAGGAAGACCTCGGGCCAGGAACCCTCTGGAAGCCCCGTTGGCGCAAGCGCATCGAGAGCATCCATTTAAAAACCCACAATTTCAATCAAGCTGGAATAACGGGACGCACCGTTCATGGGACATTGTCTTTTAAAATTGCATGACACATGAATTGACTCTCGTCCAAATCTAATTACAGGCTCAAGCGCAGGAGCGGGACCGGAAGCCCTGGCGGAAATTGATCTTTTGCACTGGGGTGTGAGTTTTTTAAATCAGTCTAGACATTTGGGAACAACCATGGCGGGTGGAAGAGGAGCAGGAAAGGAGGCTTATGGGGGGAGGGGACGGGGGAGCTCGTCCCAAAGGCTCGGGAAGGTCAAGGCCAGCGCCGGCTCCTCGGAGGCTTAGGCAGGTGAGGATATTGAAGACGCCTCCCTTCTAGGCCACTCGTCTGCACATGGAAAGTGCCAGAGCCATGGCCACTATCAATTAGCACCAGGTGGCGAAGCCATGAAGGGGCAACAGGGGCCAGCCTGAGGCCCAGACAGACAGCTCCAGCCTCTGCAGCCCAGGGTCCCCATCCGTTGCAGAAAGGCAGCTGGACAGACCACCCTCGGGAACCACAGCCCCGACTGCCCAGACTGACGGGGAGCCACCCTGGCGCCTTAGGCGCGGACACCTGGGCCAGCTGTCAGGGCGCAGGGCCCCGGGCAGTCACACCAGCCCACAGGAGCGCAGCTGCCCAATGCCCGCGCCCTGCGCCGCAGCCCCCACCCCCTGGGGAGGACACCGTCCCCTCCCTCCTGCCAAGCCTTGCAGGCCCAGTCCCACCAGTGGTGTGTGAGCATGGCCACGGCTGGGACCCCACTCCAGAGGGGGCCACAGAGTGTCCCGCAGAGGCACCGCTGTGCTCCCAGGAGAGCCCACCGGGCAGTGGCTGTGCAGGGACGCAGGGGCAGCGCTGGGTCTCTTGGGGCTACAGCGGGACAGCCCAGGGCTACCTCAGTTCTGTCCCCCCACTACTGCACGGCCTCAGGCAAGTTAACTGGTGTCACACTTCCATTCCACCGAAACAGACGTCAGAAGAGCCTCTTGTCCACGAGACCAGAGGATCAAATGAGCCAGCGTCTCTGGGGCTTCTGTCAGCCCACAGCCCGCAGGGGTCTGTTCCGAGGCGGCTTCTCCCCTGCTGGGCCACGAGCCGGCCTGGGCCCACTGAAATCAGACTTTATTTTTCAATGACCAAAGTGAATTTCTCCCATGGACTCCCAGTCTCCCAGGGACGCGAAGTTCCTATCAGTCATGTGGGGGACCCTTTGCTCCCAGGTTAGCCCCTAAGTCTGGGCAGGGGAGCGTCTGCACAGCAGGGGGGAGACTCACATCTCCACTTGCCTGCTCCCTGAATGGGGTCGGTGCCCCCAGCTCGCAGGGCTGCCTGAGGTTCGACATGTGGATGCCGAGAAGCCCTGAGCATCGTGTCCCGGGGGCCAGGAGGTCATCTGTCCACCGACTTGATCAGGCGAATTCAAGAGAAGTAGTGACAGCTCCCAAAAGCTTAATTTGGATCCAAGAACTAAAACAACAGTGGTGGGAGCCAGCCAGATGCACCCGGAGCCGGGGCTTGAAGCCCTGGCTGCTCGTTTGAGTCATCTGCTCCCCTTGTCATCCTGCCTCCCATTTGACAGATGGGACAGCTGAGGCCAGAGAACTCACCTAGTGGGACCCGCTGGGTCCAGCCAGGACCTGACCCCCAACAGTCAAGTTCTGAGCCAGGGTTCCCGCCAGGGGCTGTGGCCTCAGGCAGAGCAGACGCCTGCTGTTCCCGGCCGGCTACATTCAAGGAGCCCGGTCCTGCTCACCGTGGCCCACATGTCCCCGGAACTGACCAGGACAAAACAAATCAACGGTTATTCCACCCCAGGGCCTCCACGGGTCAGGGGTTCAGGTGCAGCTGAAATGGGCACTCCTGTCCCCGAGGCCCCCCAGGGCCGCGAGGACTAAGGGGCCTCCCCACCGGGCATGTGGCTCCTGCCGTGTGGTCACCTCCAGGCAGCCCGGTGTAATTTACACATGACATCACGTGCCCTCAGGTGCACTTCCATCCTGCGATGCGATCACACAGGCTCAGCTCACATTTCTGACAAGTCGCGTAATTATTCCTTTTCTGCGATGAGAACATTAGGACCTAGTCTCTTAGCAACTTTGAAGTCTCTAACACAGCCTGTTGACGATAGTCACTATGTGTGCTCTCCCGCCCGGGACGTATTCATCTTCCAGAGGCACGTTTGTCCCCTTAGACGACATCCCCCCAGCTCCCCACCCCCTCAGCCCCTGGGCCACGTTATCCTCTGTTGCGACACGTTTGGTGTGTTTACACATATAAACACACCCGCCCTCTCTGCCTGCCTTGTGTCGCGTGTCCTCACGCCCACAAGGTCTGCCCGAGTTGTCGCCAAGAGCGGGCTGCCCTTCTGGTGCCCAGCGGAGCCCACTGCCCACACACACCCCACCATCCCCGTCATCGCTGGCGGACGCTTGGGTTGTTTGCGTGTCCTGGGGACGGTGAACGATGCCGCCGTGAGCATGGGGTGTGGCGCCAAACGAGGGGTGGCTCCCCCGGAGTGAGCCAGAGCTCCGTGGCCTTCCCGGAGCCGGCCAGCTCCTGCGGCCACCTCTGTCCCGCCCGAAGCCCAAGCCTGTCACCAGCCCACGGTTCAAAAGGAGGGTCAGGCACACCCCCGTAACTGCCACGCCCGAGGGGGCCCTCCCTGGAGATGCCGGGCAGCCCTAGGGAGCGCCGGCCTGTGCACGGCCGCCAACTGCCAGAACCCGGGTCTTGCGCCAGTGTCCGGGGGTCAGTCCCACCTGTGCTCTGACACACCAGCAGGCAGTGCCAGAATAACGCCTCTCTTCTTCTGAATTCCATTTGGAAACTTCCCGGCAGTTCTGTAATTCTGTCCTGAAACGAGGCCTTCTCCCAGCGGGCTGGGCCACCGGCACTCCTTGGGGGGTCGATCGGCTTGACGGCCCAGAACCGGGCCTGGAGTCACAGCCCGAGGAGAGAGGGGCGGGGAGCTGGGACCCTGACCTCGAGACGGGACCCCACCCAAGCTGGCCCGTCTGGACTCGCCCCGCTGCCCCGAGTCTCTCACTGCCGGGGCCCCGACGCCGCTGCTGGAGGAGGATGCTGCAGCCAGATTTGGGGGTGATCGTTTCAGCAGCTTAGCTGGTGCCCTGTGACTACAACGTGGCCCCCATTCATCTCTGTGTGACTTTTTCCCTTGGAAAGCCGGAGCCCAGAGTCAGGGGACGGCAGTGGACGGGCCTCAGGCTCCAGCAAGTTGCTGGGGTGGGAGCCGCCCAGAGGAGCAGCTGCTCAGAGGCCTGCAGGCGGCGGGGGGCAGGGCCGGGAGCAGGAGCCCCACGGTCTGGCGCTTTCTGAAGCTGCTGGCGGGGCGCCTGGCGGGAGCTGGAAGGACACAGGAGCTGGCCGGAGAGGAAAGGCCTGTGTGACCCCCGACCGGCGCACAGGGGAACAGGCAGCGGCAGCAGCTTTTCATGCTCCGGCCACAGCGCACCGCACAGGGGCCCTGGGGACGCGGCTGCCGCCCCCACCATCTGCCTCTCGCTAGTGAAGCCGTCCAGTGCGGCGCCGATGAGGACGGCGGCTCCGCCTGCCTGGACTTCCCGCTGGAGCTGAAGGACACGCGGGGCCCCCCACCCCTCGGGCACAGTGGCGGGAGGGGTCCAGCCCCGGGCAGGAGCGGAGGCTGGGGCCGCAGGCTGACCTGAGAGCCTGAGGGGCACGCAGGCCGGCCACTGGGTGAAGGCCAGGACAGAGGTGGCCGGGGTCCCACCTGCCGGGACCTCCAGCTCGGGGCCGCACCAGCACATCCGCAGCCCCTTCTTTCCACTGGACCCCGACCGCCTGCAAAGCGGCTCACCACCCCAGGGTGCCCGCGCCACCCCCGAGACCTGAGACTGGGGCGGGGGTGAGGGGAGGCCACAGGTGGGCCTGGGCCTGCAGTGGTGGCTGGGAAGAGGGGAGTCGCCCGGCTATTTCGCGGGGCCAGTGCGGTCACAGCGACCCTCGACGGAGGAAGAGGGGCCGAGAGTGCGATGCTGAGGAAGGAGGCAGGGGCCTGGCCAGCCAGGACCGGCCGCCTCAAGGCACTGGAAGGGGCCGGGCGGATGGAGCTCAGCCGCTGGCGCCTGACTCAGCCCAGGTTTCACGCTGCCCCCCGGTCAATCTGGTGCTTTGCGACAGCAGCAGGAAGAGACTAACCGCAGTCCGGGGTGGCCACGAGCAGGAGGCGGCACGGGCCGGTGTACACCGAGAGACTGGCCAGAGAAGCCACCGTTTTGCTGCTACAAAGGGGACTCGGAGGGGCAGCTTCGCGCCACTCCCACCTCCCTCCTGCCCGGACACAAGGGGCAGGGGGCCTCCCAGCGCAGGACACACCAGAGCTGGGCACCGCACTGCCCGCCTGGGGAACGGCTTGCTGTGGCTTCCCGCCACCCGACCCGCGGCAGACGCGGCAGTGACAGCGCCGTGTGGACCTCAGCCCACCGCCCAGCAGCCGGCCGAGCCATGGGCACCCGCACCTGCCCGAGAGGCGCTGGCGGCCGTTGGGTCACTGGGCACTGCTGCCAGATACTTGGGGCTCAGGAAACGCCCCTACGATGTCTGCCAACCACTCCTCCCGGGCACAGCTGGCCGTGGCCACAACCGCGGCCGCAGCATCCCGGCCCCCCGAGAACACACAGCACGTCACCAGGCCGCGCACACTCGTACATGTTTGTTTATTGCATCAAGTTCCTCGCAGCATCTTTTTATAATCCAGAAGAAAAAATTCAGAAAGGCTTTTCATCTGCGCTCAGGTTAGAAATACACAAAAGTGAACATGAGGACGCAGGTCCTTCTTTGCAGGCGGAGCTGAGAAGCACGTGCAGCCGCTCCCACCTCAGCCCTGCCGAGCGGAGGCCCGTCGGAGGAAGCCGAGGGTCCCAGCAGCCGGGGCAGGGAGCCCAGCGAGGCCCCGTCCCCCGAGGCCGGGCAGCTGTCACCAGAAGATCCTCGGCCATCTCCACCTGGGCACACGGCCAAGGGGCTCACCCACATCCCTGAAAGCAGCACCACCCCACGGGTGGACAGACACCCGCCCACCAGACAGCGACATTCAAATTCCCTGAACCAGATCCTTTTAAAGCTGAAGTCGCTCGGTCTGGGGGGGGGCTTCCTTGTGCCCCCGGGGGGCCGTCTGGTTGGGCGTGATGCCCACTTCTCCCAGGAGCTGTACGATGTGTCCATGACACGCAGACTACGCAGGAGTGGTCAGCGGGGCGGGGCAGCGGTCAAGGTCGGGCAAGGTCACACAGATGCGCCACAGCGCACAGCCGCCCGAGGGGAGAGGGCCAGGGCCCTGCGCCGCACCAGCGCAGACGGGGCGGGGCGGGAGCCGAGCCCTCTGCAGGCCGAGCTCTCACCGGAGCCCGCTGGGTCCGCAGGAGCGAGGGATGTGGCCGGCCCGGCCCAGACACCACCGTCACAGCACCCCTCACACACCCCAAAGCGCGCCGGTGGTCGGGATCCCGCTGAGTAAGTTCTCGAACAGACAAGGGACGGTGGAGACGCGGGCGCCGCATCAGAAGCCCTGCAGCTCCGGGAGGTTCCGGTACAGATCCAGGGCCTCGGGGTTGGAGAAGGCCCCGCGGTGCTCCACGGCCTTCCCGGCGATGATCTGCTTCACGGCCACCTCCACCTTCTTGCCGTTGAGGGTGTACTGCGGGCAGAGACGCGGAGGGTCGCTGCAGGCCCCCGCCCCGCACACCCCGCCAGGCAGGCCCCCCCCCGCAGACGGAGCGGTCGCCGGCACTTCGGGCCACGCCTGGGCCGCCCCGGACCACAGGCTCGGCGCTCCTGGACTGACACCCGGGGGCGGGCCCCAGGGGCCGCGGGAGGCGGGGGCGCCTCCGGATGTTTGATTTTATTACTTGGCTGTGTTTTATCTCACTGGGCGGACCCTAGTTCCCGAAGGCGGGGACGGGGGGGGACGGAGAATGGGGGGGGCCGGGGACCAGGGGGGACGGGGACGGGGGGGGGGACACGGAGAACGGGGGGGGCAGGGGGCCGGGGGGCCGGGGGGCGCCCTACCGGGATGCCCTGGGTCTCCAGGATGAGGCTGGGCACGTGCCGCGCCGACAGCCCCCGGCGGATGGCGTCGCGGATGCCGCGCACCAGCTCGGGCCCGAAGGCGTGGCCGGCCGCCATCTTGAGGAAGAGGACGACGCGCTCCTCGCCGTCGCGGCTGTGCTGCGGCACGCACAGGCTGTCCCGCACCTCCTCGAAGGCCTCCACTGCGGGCGCGCGCGGGCGGGCGTCAGGCGGGCGCGGCCGGGCGGGGCGCACGACCCCCGGGCACGCGCCGGGGCCCGGCCGGGGGGCGCCCGAAGCCCCAGGGGCCGGCGCGCCCTCCCTGTCCGAGCCCCGACGGCCGCGCGGACCCCAAAGGGGCGGGGGCGGGGCCGGGGGCGGCCGCCCCCTCAAGCAAGGCGGGGTGCGGCCAGCTCACCCCGCGTCCTTAGAAACTCAATGGCCGCGGGAAACATCCCACCCCCAAAAAAAGGGCACGCTCCGGAGGAAGGGCCTGCCGGCCGGGGTCCCCCGCACCCAGGGCGCGGCCTCGGGAAGGCCGGCGCGGGCTCCGGGGGCACCTCCCCGGCGGGGGGGCTGGGGGGGCTGGGGGGGCTGGGCCCCGGGGCACCCACCGATGTTGTAGATCTCCGAGCTGCCGAAGCGCACTCCGTTGGGGTTGAGCGTGCCGTCGCTGGGGAGACAGACGGTCACCCACACACCGACACCCGCCCGCGCCCCCCATCCCCCCCCCACGCCCCCCATCCCGCCCCACCGCGAAGGCTCCCGCGGGGACACTGAGCAGTGCCAGGGCGCAGGACCCCCCCGCGCCTGGGGCCCAGGGCCGGCGGCCCGCAGGCCCCTCACCTGCGGCCCAGCATGACGACGCCGCCCGTCTGGGGGTTGATCCTGCAGTAGTCGCCGTGCGCCCAGACACCTGCGGGGGGGGGGGGCGGGGGGTCACCAGAGCTGCCCGGCCGCGCCGCAGCGGGAGGGGGCGCAGGGCAAGGCGAGGCCCGGGCGCAGGGCGGGGTGGAGCCGGGCCCGGGGAAACTCGGCCGACAGCATTGATTGCGAAGCATCAGAACGATCAAAATCATTCTAGGGTCTGTTTTCCATTTCTTTCTGCACTTTTACTAGATTTTTTAAAAGTAATAAAAAGTCAAAAAGTCAAAGGGCGCAGAATCCCAGCCTTGGACACCCTCCCGCGCGTGTCTCCACAAATTTTACACGAGCATCTCCCTTCAAACATTTACACAAGGGAACAGTATACACGCTTGAAAACCGCTGTTCTTCACTTAATGATTTCTGGGGTGCCCTGCCTGCACCCGCCGTGACTGCTGACATTCCACCAGGTCTGAATTTCAAGGTGATGCTGCCGGTCGCTGCCCGAGGCAGAAAGCCCTTGGCTGTCCTGCTTCTCCTTCATCAAGCCGTTCCTCACACAGACCAGGACTCTCGCCAGGCTGGGCCCTCACGAAACATCTCACCTGAGTTCACTCTGTCCGTGACCAGTAGCTCAGATCCCCCCTTTTTTTTGAATATCTGATACCATTCTCTTATCTGCCTTTGTCTTTCCAAATGTAATCCTATCTCCCGCTCACTCCCAGATAGCACTGCAGGAAGCGCCTATGAAATCAGTGAACTAGACCGCACTCTGGAAAGAGAAGGGCAGCAGAGCACTGCTGCCACAAGCAATGCTCTCGGCTTGGAGTTTCCTGGCAGCCAAGGCAAAAGTGGAAATAGGTCAGGTAGCAAAGTATTTGTTTTTCAACTAAGGGCTTCCAAAATAAAGTAATATTTATTCTGAAATTAATCACGGGAAATCTTGAGTATATAACAAAAAGAAACAGAAAAGACGATTTTCAAAGAGTGGCACTGCAGATGAAGAAACATCGCTTCTTACACGGATCCTCCAGCTGGGGCTGTGACCCTCCTGGCCTCCCTGAGGGCAGGGCTGCTGTCTCTCCCTCAGGTCACAGAGTAACACTCCTCTCTCTGCATGCTCTCTGTTCTGCCGCCGTCTGCCTGGCAGGGCCCAGTGTGGGGCTGACATGCAGCAGGTCTCAAATGGAGGCCAGGCCTCATCCGGGGGTGGGGCCTCCCGGGAAACTCAAAGGACGTGCAAACACCCAAGAAACAGGCGTGCGTACAGCAAATCCCTCCCCTGTGGCTTGTGCAAAACCAGATTACCTTTCTAGAGGCCACAGAAAGCCAGTACTTAGTATAAATAACCGTGGAACAGAAGGTTTGCTAAATCATGAATTCTGAGGCAGCAATAACTCGAGGCTGCTTATGAAATTAGCTACGAGGGAGGCAGGAATCGGAGCTGGAAAGGCTCCCTGCCTGGAGAGGCACCCGCCGATGAGCCGCCGGCGTAGGTTCTGCAGAGCCCCCACCACAGATGCACCCCACTCCCACCTCTGCAGGAGCCGGACGAGCTGTGTGACAGGCGGAAAAACTCATGCCAGGCCCCCTGCACACGCCACCTCTCCCTGACAGGGCCCCGCTCCCAGCAGCAGGGGGCCGGGCTCTGGGCACAGGGGTAAGGACTGCACTCCCCCCAGAGGACACTTTCCCAGAGGGCCGCAGGCGGCGGGACCCGCATGCTCGCCCCACCCGAGGAAGGAGCTGTGAGCAGCTCGGGGGCTTGGGGGGCAGGGCCAGAAAGGGGGACACAGAACCAGACACAATAGGCCCAGGCCAGGGACGGGGCAGCTTCCTCTGCATCCTTGCCTACCCGGGAACCTGGAGAAATATGCCTTCCGGTACTTGCTGCCGTTCTCGTCGTTCCAGAAGTGCGTGGGCTGGCAGGGAAGCGGCCTGGTGCACACCAGCTCACCGCTCTCGCCCCACACTGCCTGCCCTGGTGGGAAGAAAGGGGGAGACTGAGCACAAAGCATGGCTTGCTTCGCTCTCCCCCTCCCTTCGTTTCTCTCCCCCTTTCAGGTTCTTCATTCTCCAGTATTTCAGACACACACAAAGGGCAGAGCTGACCCACACCCACATGCCCAACTCCTTGGCACCCCGAAAGCCGAGCTTCCAGCCCAGTGTCTCCCCTCCAACCCCCCAACCTCTCTCGAATGCGATGCTTGTCCCCCACGCACTCTGGACGATGCACCTTGTCACTTGGGTGCTTCCAGCCTTTGGCTGTCTGCCAGCCTGACATGGGGGCCCTGCCCCCCGCTTTCACCACCTGTCATTCTCCCAGGGTGACTGGGACACTTTATCCCCTGGACACGTGCACCTGTTCTGCTCTCAATTTGTTTTCTGTTACAAGATACTGGTGCCAAGCACCTCGCCTGGCCTATTCCTCCCAGGAGAGAGATCCCCGGATCACGAGCCCCGGTAATTTCACCCCCATTAGCTTCTCCTGCTTTCTAAAACAAGCGGTGCTGAGGGGCCCCCGCCCTGCTAGGGAGACTCCCTTTCCAGGCCAGCCCGGTACAGGCCAGGGCGGCGGGCGGAGGCCGGGAGAGTGGGGTCCCCCTGGCCCAGCCCTTCCACGCAGAGGCGGCAGGATTACATCACAAACACTGACATCCCCGCCCCTGAGGAGACCCCGGTTCTGCCAGTTCCCCTCGCCTCAGCCCGTTCATTTCACCCCAGATGAGCCTGAGACAGAAGCCACATAGACAACTCTCCACACATCCCCTCCTGCACCCCAAAATGCAGCAGGGACCGAGCCCCAGGGAAATGGGAAGGAAAGTGTTACGAGCACATGGCGCTGGGCAGCAAGAGAGAAAGGCGGCTCGGGGAGCTAAGAGCCAGTTTCCAGGAAGGTGTTGGCAACGTCTCCCTGAACTGGGGGCAGAGGCCCTGGCCCCACTTCTATCATCTTTCCCACGTCCCCCCAAAACTTCAGGCTGGCGCAACCTCCCCACTTGCTCTGTCAGGTGACGGGAAAGGCAGCGGCGGGCGAAGGGTCCGAAGCCATGAACCCTGCACATGCCCCACATGCCCAGCCTGAGCTGAGGGGTGTGTCTGGTTTAGCCAACACCCCCACAGACTGAAGCAGCTCCCCAGGAAGCCTCCACCAAGGTCAGGGCACCCCCGAGCTTGGCCACCGGGGAGACCCAGGCTGCGAGTCACAGCTCTCAGGGGAGCCACGGGGCAGAGGCGGGAGTTGGAGGGTGTCAGCAGGCCTCAGGGACACCGGCCGGCCAGCAGGACGGGCCCCTCTCGGACAAGGTGGCTCTGGGGACCATTTCCCCAGCAGCCACAGGGCGAGCCCGTCCAGGCCCCTCACACCCCGTCACACAGAGAAAATGGTTAGTGCAGCATCACCTTCCTCGTTCCAGGCCTCCACAGCCATGCCCAGGTTCCGGGCCTGGATCTCGCCCTTGTACACGGGGATGGACACGTTCTGGCCCATGAAGCAGGAGATGATGTCCGTGCCACCTGCAGGAAGCGCAGAAGGGCCTCAAGATCCGGGAGGCCGAGGCGCGCGGCCACTAGCAAACACAGACCACCCCAAGGACACCTGCTCTCCCTTCTCCAGACCGACACCGAAACACTGCCAGGCGGTGCGGCTTCCCTGCAGGGAGAAATGGGAAGCAGCTGGGAACTGGGCGAAGCTCCCGGTCTCTGGGGGATTTACTGTTTTGACTGAATCTTCCCGCTGGAGGACGGACTAAAGGAACAGCCCCCGGCGGCCACGCTGACACCCAAGCCGCAGCGTCAAGGAAAACGAGGCTTCGCCCTCACAGAGGCCCCTGCGGCGCCGCCTGGGGCCAGTGACCAGCCAGGAGGGCTCGGGGTGTCGGCACAGGTGCGCCTCCACAGGCAGCAGGCACGCTGGGTGGCGGCCAGCCCCCAGGAGGAGGGTGAGGGGTGAAGGAGGCACACCCCAAACCTGGGCTCGGACACCGGGGCGGCGCAGACGCCAGCCGTGCCTTCCTGTGGTCTTTCCCCGCGACCGCACCTCATCATCCCACCGTCTGCTTTCTTCACTCACTCCTGAGCCTCGTTTTTATCTCCTTCGTGAAATAAAGGCAGCAGAATCCGCCAGATGAGCTGCTTTTAGCAGTTAACTGACAACTGCTGGGAGGGGTGGACACACGCATGGGGCCGCGGGCCGGACGGCGTGAGCAGCGTCCCCCGCCACCTTCTGGAAGGCGCCGCCGCGAATACGGAGCGGAGCCCAGGCCGGCGGGCAGTCCGCACGCGCCCTGGCAGTGCACGGGCCACTGCGCGGCGCCTCAGCCCTGCCCGCGCCCCCTGCCCAGGCACCCAGGAGCCCCGGGGCGCGCGGGGAGCGCACCTGAGATGGAGCCCAGGAGCACGCTGCTCTTGACGCAGGTGTACACGTACTCGTAGCTCTGCGCCTTCAGCGGGGAGCCGGTGGACAGGATCGTGTGGAGCGTCTGGAGGCTGTGGGTTTCCGCTGCGGAGAACCAGGGGCGTCATGCGAGTCGTAAGCCTGGGCTGCTCTGTGCAGAAGGGCGCCCGGGCAGACCTGACTTCTGGGGGGCCTCACCTGGCTTCAGGTTCTTCTCCTCCAGCACGGACAGCCACTTGGCACCGGTCCCCAGGATGGTGATGCTGCGGGGGGCGGGGGGGGAGCAGACACCTCAGGGCCACGCGTCTCAAGTCAGCGAGCCCTTCTGACCACGTGCGAGTCCAAGCCCCACCATTTTTCTGGGGTGAATGAGAGCGGCCCCCACCATGTTCACGAGCAGTGTGCCTGGCGCCGTCCCCCACCCCCCTCCCAGCCGCCGTGCTTGGGGCCCGAGGGAGCTGTGCCATCAAGGCCCCGGCAGGTCTACCCGGGGTCCACCTCCCGCAGGGTGGAGGCGGGGGTCGGGGACTCGCGCCGGCGCCTCCCCCAAGCGCGCCCTCCCTTCCCTGCAGAAATCAGAAAAGGCGGCTCTTCCCTTTTCAGACGTCCAGCATGTCCCCAACCCCCCCGGCCCCCACAGTCTGGTCAGCGTGACTTCAGAGAGCGCCTGCTCCCACATCCCACGTCCTCCCCCGGCCGCCGACAGGTAAGCGCTACCTTCCCCACCGGAGACGGACCCGCCACAAAGCCTCACGCCCTTGCCGCTGCGGAGCGTCCTCGTCTGATGCGAAAAGCAGGGCGGCCTGGGGCAGGACCCCTCCAAGCTGCCGTGCGGCCCCTCCTGTGCCTTCACCCTCTCAGGGCTCCCGGTCACCTGCCCCGCAGCCTGGGCCCTCCCAGCGGTGCCCGGGAGAGGCTGATTCAGGAGCAGGCGCCGTGGGGAGCAGGAAATGCACGGGCTCTCCCACCGTCCCCCACCCTGCATGGTGCACAGGCTCAAAGTCCAGCTCCAAGGATGGGGGTGTGAACCTGAGGGGGGCACGCAGTACTGTCCTCCGTCACCCCCAGCCACACAGATTCTGTCCTGCTCACCCCCTGCTGCCCCCCCAAAACCGGTGGCCCTCTGGTCTCAGGAGCGTGTGCGTCACGGGGGTAACTGTGACCTCCGCTGTGACCGGGCGGGAAGACGGAGCAGCACCCCAGTCCTGCGCGTCTAAAAACGGCACCGTCGCCTGTCAAGCTCCAGGGCTTGCATAAGACGGTTTAAAAACATTCGTTCATGAAGTGCCTTCTGGTGTGGGTGGGGGCTCTGCGGGTATTTTTAGCAAATACCCTTGGGAACCACGACACAAAGAATGAGGCTCAGCCTGGAGAGGCCCCAGCGCCCCACCCAGCGCGGCATCACCCCCGGCCGCCTCACCCGGCCACCCCGCCCCGGCCCTACATGGACATCTCCACAGCCACCCCCGCCCACAGGGCTGCACAGCCCGAGGCCCCAGCCCCCCACTTCTGCCCTCTCCACCACGGTTTATTCCCCAAGAGGGAACCAGACTGGGCTGTGACAACCAAGAACCAGAGCCCGTGACTCCCATCCGAAGGCTCTAAGGGCATCACGTTTCACTCAGAAAAAAACCCGCCCCCCAGCCCACCTGGATTCCCAGGGTGCCGGCCCCCCCATCAGGCTCCATCAGCCTCCCACACGGGGGTCCTTCCAACTCCCCAGACACGCCGCCTCGGGTCCAGAAGCTGTGCTCCCAGTCCTCCGAGGGGACCCCACCCAGACGACAGCGCCTCCTTTCTGGTCTCCTTAGCCTCGGCCCCAGTGCCACCCCCAGGACAGGCTCCACCTCGGCGGCCACTCTGCAGCCCTGGCCAGACGTGGGGGTGTGGGTGACGCTGGCTTTGAAGGACGAGCTCTGCGGTGAGTGTAACAAACCAACACGCCGTGAGCTTAAACTTACACACGTTCTATGTCAATTATCCCTCCGTAAAACTGAAAACCCAAACACTAGAGGCTGAGAAAACAACAAGAGTTTCAAATAATACCGATGGGGGGGGGGGGTGCATGCAGAAGAAAATTCATCTTTTACAAGAACTTTGCCCGCGCCTTCAAAATAGACTCCCCGTCAGCCGGTGAGCCGACTGACAGCAACAGAGACATCGCTCTCGAGTTTCCAATCTAAAATGTGGACGCACAGCACTGGATGCTGAGGGCTGTGCCCGCCCCACCGATGCCAGGCAGCTGTTCACCTGGGCGTCTGGGACCACCCCCCGAGCGCCACTTCATTTCAGGAGGGCGAAGTCACTTCGGCCAACGCCGTAACTCCTGCTGTGGCCACAACGGATGTCTGAGCACCCCGCCCGCCCTGCAAGGCTGCCAAGCCACCCCCTACTCTGCAGCCACGCGGGGCGCCAGGAGGCAGATGCTCAGTACGTGCTCACCAGCTGCACCGAGCCAGGGCTGTGAAAACACACACAAGAGCCCATACCCACCTGCACACACCCACGGGCACACACCCACCTGCACACACTCACGGGCACACACAGGTCAGGTACATGGACAGATGCCCACGCTCTCCCACTCTCTCATCTAATGGACACACACAGCTGGGTTCCCCGCAGCTCTTCATCCCTCAATTTCATCAGCATGAAGGCCCAGTGACACACTCTCCATGTTCTTCACACACACACACACACACACACGCACGCACGCTGTGTCCCCACCCGGGGCCCGGCTGGCATTGCGGATGAAGATCTGCAGCACCCCCATGCCGGGACCCCACCCACCTTTCAGTCTCATCAGGAGAGAAGCCCTGGCGACAGCCCGAGCCAAGTGCCAGGGTCTGCGCTGGGCCCGGCCGGGGGCTCTGGGGAAACAGCGGACGCCAAGGCCAAGACCAAGGCCATCAGTGAGCGGCTCCTTCTGTTCCCCCACCGGGAAGGGATTCCAACCAGTGGGGAGTAAAAGGCCCAGGTGCTGACTCCGCCCAGAGCCGCGGCCCCGGCACCCCCACCCCGGGACAGCAGAGGGCAGCAGTGACCCCGGAGGGACGGTGGTGGGGTGACTTGGCCGGCAGAAGGGCCCTGGTAGGATGTTCCTCTGCCGGTTCCTACCTGACCACGGGTCTGGGGTGGGGGTGCCAGGAGGCGTCCCACTCCCATCTCCACTGCTCCTGCCTCCGCCCCAAGGGCTCCCGCGCCCTCCAGCCCAGAGAGGACCGTCACCAGCACGGCAGGCCGCAGCCCTCCCGAGGCGTACGTGGCACATCAGGAGGCACAGGGATGGGCTGGGAACTCGAGGGGAACAGGGCGGGGACAGCTGGTGCCAGCAGGCTCTCCCCTCCAGAGGGTGGGAGAGAGAGGAAGCCCGCGAGGCCCTCGTGCAAGGCTGTGCTGTCCCCGAGCGGGTCTGCCGCGTCAGAGCCTGCCCTGGCTCCCCCAGCGTCCTGGCTGAGACACGCTCGCTGGCCTCAGGCTCCCCAGGGCCTGCGCTGCGATCCCAGGGTTAGCACATAAGGTCGTCTTCCCTCCACAAGGCCCTGTGGCCTCAGACCTCCCCCCCAGGAGCCTCTCCTGTCCCTTCCCGCAGGCCTGATGACTCTGGCACCTGCCCCACCCCAGGCAGACGCCCAGAACCCAAGGCTCCAGGAGATAGCACCAGGTCCGCGTGGTGGGGCTGCGGGCACCTACCCTATCCTGTCCACCAGGTCCCACAGCACGTTGGGGGTCGGCACCAGTGGGGAGCCGTCGTATAGGACCAAGGCCGCACCCGTGGCGAGGGCAGACACCATCCAGTTCCACATCATCCAGCCGACCTGGAACAGACCGAGGAGGGCGCGTCAGCCGAGGCTGGGCGGCCCCGAGCCCCTCACTCAGCCTTGCCGTCCTGCCAAGATCCCACAGCGGTCGAAGCCGCCCTTTCAAGCACAAGAGGCTCCCCCCCGTGGAGGGGGCGCGGGGTTTATGGCACATACAAGGTCACTGAGGTTGCTGGGAGTGTCTCCCTGGCCCTCACAGGGGTGGCAGGAGCATAGGGTGCCCGCTGCACAGATGGCCACACGCGTGGGGTGCTGCACTGAGCCGGCCGACCGCAAAAAGGCTCCCAAAAGCACCCAAGTCAGTGACATTGCCCAGCAGGAGGTCGGGCGGCGGGTGGGGGAGCCTCTGGTTGTGGGTGCTAGGCCTGGGAGACAAACAGCCCTGCACCTGGCCCCCCGAGGTGCCCACAGAGTCGGCGGCTACGCGTCCTTCCACAGGGGAGCATCGGAGCAGGACTCACCACCCTGGGAGGCACAAAGGTGCAGCCTCCACTGGCCACGCTGCTCCCACTGTGCAGCCTCAGGCCCTGCTGGGGGCCACGCTGGACCCACCGGCCAGGGACTGGCCAGGCACCTGCATGCACGTCCTCCACAGCTGCTGTAACAACCACCCGCACCCGGCCTGTCAGCTCAGACCCACCGTCCAGGGCTTCCTGGGTCCAGACCTGGTGAGGTGCCGAGGCCGCGTCCCTCCACAGCTTCGGGGACGTCGTCTCCCCACCTCCTCCAGCCTTGGGAGGCACTTGGGCTCGTGGGCCCGCACCACCCCCACGTGATCCCACCTCCTGCACCCCTCCCCAGGCCTCCACAAATTCCTTTTCTGTCTGGATTGGCCAGAGGCGCCTTCTCGTGCGCAGGTAAGAGCCAGCCACGGGCGGCCCATGACTCCTCCCGCGCCTGCCCATAGGACAGGTCAGGTACAGCAAACGCCTGTGACAGCAGGCCCGAGGCGGGAGGGACACCAGGGCCCTGGGGCAGGATCTGCCTGTGCAGGAAGGAAGACTCCCCGAGGGCCAGCGGGCGCCGCTCACCCACTCACCGTGGTGTAGTACAGGAGGATGTCGGCGCTGCCCATGTCCCCGTGCAGCATGTGCTCCTTCAGGTGCTGGATCAGGGTGCCCTGGGGAGAGCAATGCGCTGCGTCTCCTGCTCTCAAGTCTGTCTGGCTCTTTGTCAAATGCTGGCGGGGCCATCTCCACTGTGGTCCCCCCCAAGGGATCTTGCCCGCAGCGAGCCAGTCAGCCCCTTGCCGGGCCAAGCGCGTGACGGAGAGCTCAGCACATCTCAACGCCGACGGGGCTGCAGCCACCCTGTGGACTCAGGTCCAGACCTCCCCCGCACCCCACTTGAGGAGGGCTGCACCCCAGCATCTCAGGGCCAGGAGTCCTCCTGCACCATCTCAAGGCCCGGGAGCGCGGTGGGCAGACCTACCCCAGCGGAGTGCACCATGCACTTGGGTGCCCCGGTCGTGCCCGAGGAGAACATGATGAAGAGCGGGTGGCTGAAGGGCAGCTGCTCAAACTCCAGCTGCGGGGGCTGCTCCCCGATCCCGGTGGCGAGAAAGTCATCCAGAAACACGCTGTGGGCGGAGACATAAGAAACGGGCCACGGACATTCCCGAGCGCTGCCTGCACCGTCAGACCCGTCAGACCTGGCAGACCCGGCCACCGCTCCCCGCCACGCCCACCAGGGGAGGCCCCGACCTCCAGGGAGGGACGGGGCCGCCACTTTGCCCCTCCAGAGACCCGGGGCCTCAGGACTCTTGCAGACTCCCCGAGCCTGTGGAGCCAGCCTCTCTGTGCCTCCAGCCAGCGCCCCGGTTTGCAAAGGGAAGCAGGAGTCCCGTGGTCAGAATTCTTCCCCTTTCCCCGGAGGGCTGGGGAGGGCGCGGGGCAGGCCCCTGAGCTCTCCCAGCACAGGAAGGTCACAGCACCGAGCAGGCCGAGGCCCCAAACTGCAGCCGCCACAGCCAAATGTGCCGAGGAAAGGGGCTGGGCAGGTAAACGCCTCCTGTTGTCCCAAATCCACCAACCCCGGGGGAGCAGCGGCTCGAGACAAATATTTGCCCAGGGACAAATGAAGGCCGCCTATGGGCCGTCACCTAAGGGGTCTGCCAGCCCGACCCAAGGCTAACACGCGGCGTCCACGCCCAGGGCCCCGCCAGCGGCTCTGCTTTCTGAGCAAAAACAGAGCTGCGGCAGCTGCTGCCCAGCCGGGAGCGGTGCCTTCTCTGTTCAACAGCCACAGACATACCCACCGGGAGCCCCGGCCTGGCCTGCCACAGGGTGAAGGGGAGAAAAAGAGGGGGAAGTCCAGCTGCTCGCACAAGCAGAACTGCCTCCCCCAAGGGGACATGAAACCGGGCCTGTGGCGGGGCTGGGCGCAGAGGGGGCCGGGACGGCCGGGAGGCCTTCAAGATGAGGGTGGTTCAAAAAGGGCGCCTGGAACAGTTCCTCTCAGCTGCAGACAACAAAGCCCCTGGCCAGAGTGCCTGGGAGCCGTCCATGCGGGGCTCTGTGGCCAGCTAGTGCCCCCCCCCCCGCTGCCACGCGGGGCCATTACATGAAGCCCAGGCTGATTGGGCACTTGACACTGAGAGACCCTTCCCTCCAAACGGCCTGTAAATCGCAGTAAATGGTGATTATTTCTGTTGCTCTTCTAGAAAATGGAAAGCCCAGAGGGTGGCCGCCTCTCTGGGTCTCCACACACATGGCCACGGCCTCGGCTGCCCAGGAGGAGAGCGGCCACCCACACTGGGGGGGGGGGGCGGTGGGGTGACGTGGGCCTGGATGCTCCGGTTTTCTGTTCATTATTGACAGACCCAGAGGACGAGCTGTGTGGCCACGGGTCCTGCTGTGTGGCCACTATCCACCCTGGCGGGGGCCCAGCTCCAGGTTCCTCAGGGGCCGATCGGCACGTGACGGGGTCACAGGAACCTCCCACGCACCTGAGGGGCCCAGCGGGGCTGCGCAGGCTCCCCCGGGCAAGCGCCCCGCTTACCTGTTTGGGATCTTGGAAATGTCTATCTTCTCTCTGGGGGCGAGGTAAGGGATCACCACCACCTTCCTCAGGTCCGGGAGGCCTGGAGGGAGGAGAGCGGGTTGCAGGACTGGGGGGGCGGGGTGCTCGTGGCCGCCGGCTTTTCTGGATGAAAGGTGATTCAGCCGCGGGACAGGGCTCGCGGAGGTTTCTGGAGCTCGCAGCTCGCAGGGCCCACGGTCTCTGGGGCTCGTCCCCACACCCACATACCTTTCACCACCCGCAGCAGCTTGTCCAGGTGGCCGTGCCCCTTGCCGTTGTACTGCACGGCCTCCACCGAGAAGATGAGCTTTGGCTGGATCTGGGAAAACCGGTCCAGGACACCCTGGAGGCGGAAGGAAGGGTGGGCCTGGGCCGGGCAGGGCCCTTCACCAGCCATGGGCACGCAGTGGGGTCGTGCCTTCGCTGCGCCTGCACCCCTCCCCGTGGGCGCGATGCCGGCCAGGAGGGCGGGGCGTGCCCCCCAGAGATGTCAGCACTTGCAGTGCCAATATCAAACACCAGGACTTCCAGACACACTGCAAGACCAGACTCAGCTTATGGACCAGGAGTGCTGGAGGCCCATCCGCAGCGCCGGCCAGACCCCACAGCGCCAGCCAGACCCCACAGCGCCTGCCAGTCCCCATGGCACTGGCCAGACCCCACAGTGCTGGCCAGACCCCACTCTGCAGGATTTGCCTTCAGACGACCGCAGCACCAAGGAGCCTCCACACCTCAGTTCTGTTCTAGGTTTCACTTAAGAGGCCCTTCCGTCCCCTGAAGGACACTTTCGGCCAAGCAAAGTATCCTGCAAACGTGGACACAGGTAAACAAACCCATGTCCAGAACAGGCTGGCCGCGCCCAGGTGCCCATGAGGACCCGTAGCCTGCCGCCCCGCCCAGCCTCCTCTTTCCTGGAAGAGGACGCACCTGCCACGCAGGTGCTGAGCTTGTTCCTGGAGCTGGTGCAGGACAGGTGTGGCTGTGGCACACGCCCCCACCTGCTCTGCTCCAGGGTGACAGCCGTCCCTGGCCTGGGACAGCTCTTCTCCCCCAGGCCCCTCCGGCCTTTCTCAAGCCCAGACCTCGGTGGGGCCACTGTCAGCCCCAGAGGGTGCCCCGAGGAGGCATCTCCCAGACCAGCTCCGCTGTGCTCTCGGAACAGGAGGCAACGAGGACGAGGGTCTCCAAAGCAGAGGCCTGGGCCTTGGCAGGGGAAGACGAGAGTCTCAGCGACACCAGGGCAGCTCTGGCTGCCACCGAGGCTCAAGATCTCTGAGCAGCCCCAGGCTGCAGAAGCCAACACCCCCCAGCTGCTTCCAACCCGAACACGGTGCCCAGCGACCCCCAAGCAGGAGGCCAAGGCCAGCATGGGGCTGTGACAGCCGGCGGGGGGCACGTCCTGTGAGCCATGCAGGCACGCACAGGGCAGCCCAGGATGCAGCGCGGGGCAAGGGCCCGGCTCTCAGGCTGGCCTCCCCCAGAGTCCTTGGAAAAGCCACCAAAAGTAAACGTTGAAACAAAAGGGAAGAAGCAAATGGGGTGAACAAAGCAGAACCGAGGCCCTGGTGAGGCAGGAAGGCGGGAACCAAAGAGCAGAGCCCGCCAGCACCTGGCCATGCCCCGCAGGCAGCTGGGGGCGGGGAGCTGGGCCAGTAGATGGCAGGGGCAGGGCGAGGAAGGGGGTGTCCCGCCCGCCCCTCCCGGATCAGCCCGCTGCAGACTCGCACGTGCCACAGCCACTGAGCGGGGGCCCTGACGGTGCAGGGGTGCTCTTGGGAGTTAAGCAGGTGTGCGAAACTCAGAAGGACCACGACACTCGGGTCCCGGGCTGGGCCCACAGCAGTCCTTGGGAGAGCTCCCTGCTCCCCAGCTGGCCTACAGTGGAGGCTCTGGCTCACTGGCCGCCCAGGTCCCCGCAGGCAGGTGCTGGGGTCCACCTGGGCGGGCCCGGGGCTTCCCAGCGGGGGTGGGTGCTGTAGACGGAGCCGCACGGTCACCAGCAGCTCACACATCCACCAGCAGCCCGATCGCACTCCCTGAGACGATGCCACGGGCCACATGCCCACCTGCCTGCAGGACAGAGGCCCCCACGCCTGCACCCCCACCTGGGCCCGAGCTCAGGCAGAGTACCGTGCTTGGGAAGGAGGCGTGGGCACTGCTGTCTTCCAGGCCGACAGGCTCTCCCTGGAGGCCCAGTGCCGCCCCTGCGGATTCCCCTCCCGGCACCAGCCGCTGCATGCGGAGCGGAGCCAGCCTGCCCCCTAGCGCGCCTGGCACAGAAGCAGCTCCAGGCACAGCCACGGCTCCAGGAAGCCCTGGCTGGCCTGAAGCCAGGGAGGGAAGGCCTGGGCGCGGAGTCCCCACCAGCAGCCCCGGCATGGGTGGCAGGAAGAGGCCACCCAACACGGCCTTCGTCACCCTCCCCACCCCCCGCCTGGTGGCTGCGACACACCCCCACACCCGAAATCCAACCCAGGAGCTCTCCTCTCTGCCAAAGCTTTAGTCAGGGTCCTTCCAGCCCTGGGGGGCCATGACCAGGCCCCCGGCCACATGCCACCAACCTGGCCAGTGGCTTTGAACAACTTAGAAAGTTCCAGTGTAATTCAAAACAGCCCCTCCTCCCAGGGCCTCCCTGGTGGCGCAGGCGGTTGAGCGCAGCACTGTGCTGTCCGCAGCTTCTGCAGTGCCGGTTCAATCCCTGCCGGCTGCAGAGACACCCACATGGCGCGGCAGACCTCTCCGGTCTCCCCGCTGCTCCCCTCAGCAGTGTATTTCATCAGTCTGCCTGTTCTGTTCCCCACTCTGTCTCCAGTGAATCCTCTCACCCTCCCGCACATCTGGCCTGTACCCCGGTTCTTGTATAAATAAATAAATCTTTAAAAAAAAACAGCCTCCCCCAACAGGCAATGTTCACAAAGTTGTAGAAGGGGTATCCCAGGCCCCGCAGGATTCACACCACCGCCCTCATAAGTGCCCCCGTTGGGTGCTCAGACCCAAGGCCCTTGGTCAAGGTCACCGGACCAGGAAGCAGCAGAGCCAGAGCCAAACTCGGGCGGGAGGCCGCCTGCCTAAACGGCCCCGCCACCCTGCCCGTCCCCAGCCCCCAGGCCCTCCTCCCCACTCCACAACGCAGCTGCCAAGGGGCCAAGAGCACCAGCACCCAGGCCCGGAGGCCACCTGGGCAACCATGAGGAGCCCCATGGGGCGCTTGAACCCCCTGCCCTGGGCTTGGCAGGGCTCCAGCCTCACCCCACTGGGCTCGGACTGGCCTGGCCAACCCCTGAGCTTCTCCAGGCCTGAGTGGGAGAAGCTTGTTTGCTCCTCGTCCCCACGGGGCGGGGAAACAGGACAGATCTGAAACCCTGACCTTTCCAGGCCAGCCAAGAGATGAGAGCTTCAAGCCCAGCTTCAGGCTGGGGACAGCCTGACACCCACAGAACGCCCGGCTCCACCGGCCAGGGCTGTTCGCCGGCCCTCCCACACGCCCAGCCTTCCCCTCCACACCTCCCTCCCTGTTGCCCCACTCTGCATCCAGAGGGCACGAAGCTCACTCAGGGCACACAGCAGCAGAGCCGGGCACCCGTGCCCCCGCGCACTGGACAGCCTGGACGCAAGCCACAGGGTGGGCAGGGGGAGGGGCGGGGTGTCAGGGCCGGAGGCACCTGTGTCCCTCCTGGGGGCTGTCCTGTGCTCCTGAGCGTGCCTCCTCCTCCCCAAGGCTCAGGGAGAGGAAAGGCCTGGCCAGGGAGTCCTCTCTGCTGCTGCGTCCCTCCCCTGCAGGGGCCACTCTGGGCAGCTGTGTGCACCCTGGGCCCGTGAGGCCCCCTGTTTATGTGGACCAAGTGGCCCGGCCTCTCCCACACAGCACAGGAAGCACAGCCCCAAAGCGGGGGATGAGAAAGGGCGGCCGGGATGCTGGGATTCTCGGGAAGGTCTGTGGTGACACTCAGAACCAATCTGGAAAGCCGCCCGCAGGGGCTCAGCATCTAGACACGCTCACGGTCAGGAAGCCAAAGCGGAAGGCGCCCCGGCCCCGGCCAGCCAGCGAGCACACCGCCGCAGGGGCGCCAGGAGGAAGAGAGCGAGGTCCCTCGGGCTCCCCGCCTCCACTGTCCTCACCCCCGGCCAGGGACACCGTCTGCCTCCAGCCTGCCCGGACCTGCCCCCTCTGATCCCCAAGCCCATCAGTGGGCGGAGCCCGACCCCGGTGATCCCCCTGTACAGCGACCCCCAGGCACCCTCGGGCACGGGGCGGCACCACAGGTGGGACCGGGACTCACATTCACTCCGAAGTCTGGGGACGTGGAGCTCCAGATGGCGCCGATGCTGGCTGCAGCCAGCATGGCCTCCACGGCGTGCGCGCTGTTGGGCAAATAACCTGCCAAAGGGACACAGGGACAAAGTCTTGGGTTCTGGGTTCAGAGTTCAAAATGTACCTCCAGAGGAAGGGGCAGGAAGGGGGGCCGGCTCTGTGCCCACAGAGTGCAGCCAGCCTCACCCCACCTTCCCCCAGCTGCCTGGGTATCACCCAATCAGATGGCCTGTCACCCACCACCTTCTGTCCACTTCCTGCCGTCACGCCGTCCACTCCACTCTCCACACTGACCAGCGTCAGCCCTGTGGAAGGCATGATCCAGCCTCTTCTCTGCCCACTCGGCCTCAGCCACGGGGCGTCAGACCCAGTTTCACATCTCCAGTTATCTCAGCTTTCCCGCCTCGGGGTCTTTGCACAAGCTCTGCTCTGCCTGAAGCCCCTGCACACGCGCCAGCCTGCCCCACACCGGTGGGCACATCCTTCAGCCTTCACTCAGATGGAACTTTCCTAGAGACACCTTCTCCAAGGCCACCATCCTAACTCAGGTCCCCCTTCAACACCCACAAAGCACACTGGACGTCTCCCTCATCAAACACCCCTTAATTATCACCCACGTAGAATCATCATCATAACTGGCTGCTTATTGCCTGGTTCCCATGTGAGGGCTGATATTTTGTCTGCCTTGTTCTTTGCTCCACCAGGCCCAGCTGCTCTCAGGTGCCTACTTGACCACAAGAGTGGGTGTTTGCTTCTCAGGCCATCAGGGTACCAAGAGGCCGGGATCCTGCACCCCCAGCCCCACCCCAGGACTCCCCCCCATGCCCGGATGCGGAGCTGAGACCCATGAAGCTCTGAGTATAAACCCAAGGTCTCAACAGGGCCCCGGCCTGGGGAGCAGGACAGCTGGCTGCGGAGACCCCAGACAGCCAGGGGGTGACGCCCGAGCTGGCCAGACCGCAGCCCTGCACAGCGCTCACTCCACACCCCTCCGCTGATTCCTCACGTGGAATCATTCCCTGGTGCTCATCCCAGGGCACATGGCCCCTGACCCCCATAACCACCAACAGGCCAAATGTGCCACAGTCCAAGCTGAGGCACTGCAAAGAGGGGGCCTGTGTACCAGGCTGATTGTGACAGGCTCAGGACGCCCCCAAAGAAAGCATGGCCAAGAGGGGTCCCAACACACCCCTCTCGTTCTCCCCAAAACCACGACTCCAGCCGGAGCTCTGGTCTCTTGTTCAATAAACACACATGCACACACACGTGCAGAGCACACGCACACCCCTGATTTCAGGCAGGCAAGGAAAACAAACCCAGGGCAGGGGAGCCATGACGGACTCCTCGGAGCCGCGAGCGCTTGAGCAGAGACCTCCGGGAGCCCTGAGAGCCTCAACACGCAGGAGGGACCAGAGGCAACTTGGGGTGCCCTTTCTATCTGATCCAGTCCTAGGCACCCCATGTGGCAGGCCCTGCCCCCCCCAACCCCGCCCAGCTACCATATCCCAGGGAGACGCGGTTCTGGCCTCTCAGGGGGTTTACACATGATCGGGAGCGTCCCTGCCCAATCTGCAGACGCCCGCTGGAGGCACACCCAGGCCAAACACAGGCGCACCAGGGCCTACCCCGGGCGGTTCTGCTGCCTGGACCGCCCTCCCCTGCAGGGCGAGCCCCCAGCTACCCGTCCTCAACCCAGGGACCAGTACCTGCTGCTCACCCCTGATGCTCTTGAGATTGCTCGGGGCTCCGGGACGGCGCGGGCAACAAAGCACAGAGGGCCCCGGCCCACACAGAGCTCACAGGCAGCGTCAGGAAGGCCGGGGCCTTCTCCGGGGCTCCGCTCCTCGAGCGGGACGCATGGGCAGCGGTCTTTCCGCCCCAGCAGCGACCACCCGGGGTCTGTGCACAGGGAAATTGGCCGGGCACTGACACTGACACTCCCTCGGCCGGGTTTTGGGGATCGGGAATCAGCCGGCAGTCATGTCAGCACAAACGGAGAAGCTCACAGGGCGAAAATTCCTCGGGGAGGCCAGGGGCGGCCAGTAGGTTCCCGGGAGATGCGGCAGCGGTTCCCCCGCCAGGGAGGGGACCCCTGTCTCCTGAGTTGGGCTTGGGTTTAAGAACCATGTTTTAGGGCCTCCCTGGTGGTGCAGCGGGTTGAGCGCAGCGCTGTGAAGCTGTCCGCAGCCTCTGCAGCACCGGTTCGATCCCCAGCCAGGCAGGAAGATTCCCACATGGCGCGGCAGACCTCTCCTGACTCCCCGCTGCTCCCCTCAGCAGTGGATTTCGGTCTGTCTGCCTGTCCTACTCCCTGCTCTGTCTCTGGCGAATCCTCTCACCCCCCACACCTCTGGCCTGTACCCCACTTCTTGTATAAAAATAAATAAATCTTAAAAAAAAAAAAAAAAAAAAGAACCATGTTTTACTCAAAACTACTGTTGCGCTGTAACCTGCGGCTCAGGCTGTGCGCGGAGACTCTCCCGCTGCCGGGACAGGCCCTGGGCCAGCGGGGGCCTCACAGGACCCCTCCCCTCAGCCAGGTCCCGCCAGAACTTGGGGGCCCCCTCTGCAGTGATCTTGCTTCTTGGTCAATTTTTTTTTTTTTTTTTTTTGCCCTGAAGCAACTCCAAGCCACACATTGGCCTCCGTCCCGTCCCCACCCCACGGACCCACGCACTCACCGACCACGCGGTCCCCCTTCTTCACGCCCATTTTCCTCATCGCTGCAGCGAACAAAGCCACTTGCTGCCTCAGCTCTTCGAAGGTCACCTTGGTGATCTCCTCCTTGCCCTCCCCTGGAAGAGGAAAGGGGCGACTGAAGGCTCTGGGCCCCGGGCCGGGTGGAGAGCCCCGAGCAAGGCAGGGTAGGAGCCCTCCCGGGGCAGCAGCAGGAGGGTGCGAGAGGCCAGAAGGACACGCCTGGACCCCCAGGGCGAGAGGCAAGCCCCAAACGCCACCCACAACCTGCCCGCAAAGACTTTTTATGCTTTTTCTAAGGGCAGGAGCCCTGGGGTTGAGGCATGGTGGTTTTTTTTGGACTTTCCAAATAGACAAAATTCTACATTCCCGGGAAGTTCCAAGGACCCACAGCCCCAGGTCCGCCCTCCGGTGCCACCGGGTGTGACTTCAGCGCGCTGTCAAGGCCGGGCACCTGAGGCCGACACCACATGTGGGCGGGGTGTCCGCCGTTTTGTAGCATTTCTGTAACCGCCATCACAGGCAAAATCTAGAATATCTCCGTCGCCTCCGGCCACCTATGACAGACAGTCCTGCTTCTGGCCCAGCGACCCCACCGACACCACCGGCCCCTTCTCCGCCTCTGTGGTCCATCCCATCATGTCAAGGCTGCTGCAGAAACGGGGTCACGCAGTAGGCGGCCTGTGAGGCTTTTTCCACTCAAAGCAATGCTCTCGAGAGTGAAGTTGGCCTGGGCCGCGATAATGCACTCCTTTTGATCGCCGAGTAGTATTCCACCTCTGGCTGAGTTTTAATAATGCCTTTTTTTTTCACATTATCAAGGTAATACAGGCTTACTGCAGAAAACATTAACGTTTCAAAAATACGTAGATGGGTAAGAAAATAAAATGATCACCCTCGCCTCACAAATGCACACTAAACAGTGAGATGCTACTTTTTACACTAAGGATGGAGTGGTCCAGCCTCCACGACGCCCCGTGACCCTGCCCCGGGATTTACCCTCTGGCTCTCCCTCCGGCACAGACAGGCCTGACCTGAGGTGTTGCGGGAATGACCGTGACTTCTGAGCCTTGGGTGTGACACTGGCTCACTCTGGGAGGCCAGCTGCCACGCCATGAGGACCCGCAAGCCCCGGGGGTGAGATCTGAGGCACCCGCCCACACCCTGGAGCGCCAGCCTGAGCATGGGCCCCGGGGACGGCTGCCCTGCCAACACCCCCACTCTGAGTTTATGGGAGACCCCCGCCCCCAGCCAGAACCACCCAGCTAAGCACTTCTGACTGCGCCCACAGAAACGGCCAGGCGCTGAGCGGTTACTGCTTTAGGCCGTTAGGGGGTCGCTGCTCCACAGTGAAACCAGCCAGCTCGGATGGCTGCCGAGCGGGAGGAAGGGGCCTCGCGGACGCACTGCCCGCGGGAAAGATGCCCGCCCCTGACCCGGGTCTCACTGCTCCGCTGCTCATTTCCCCAAAGTGAATTCACACCCTGAGTCCCTTTCCTGTAAGTCTGGCTCTTCCCATTGACCTCAGTGAGGCGTGCCGGCCACCCTGCTCTCGCGCCCCCGGCCGCCCGCCCTGGCCTCTCGGCGTGCGGGAGGGACAAGCCGGCACAGGCAGACTCGGCAGCGCCCGCGCGGGAGAGGACGGGCCAGGCAGATCACGCGGAGAACAGGCCCACTCGTGAGAGGTCCCCGCACCGTCGCCGGCCAGCGAGGGAGGCGCTCACGCCCCCGCCAGCGCGAGCAGGGGCAGCGTCGTCACCAAAAGAAACTCAAATATTTAAAAGGAAAGGGGCGGCAGGGCGGGGAGGAGAGAGAGGCCACACTCGGAGCCGGGCGAGGAAAGGCTTCAGCCAGCTGGCACCTGTCAGTGTGCGGGAGAGCGAGGGGGAGAGAGAGGGAGAGAGAGGGAGAGAGAGGAGCCCAAGGTCCAGCACGAACCTCGCCAGCCAGGACAGGCTGGCAGCCACCGCCACCAGGGCTACTGCCCCTGACGGGGGGAGGAGACAGCAGAGACACCCGCCATCCCAGTGCTTCAGATCACAACAGATGCCAAGGGGCTGGCGTCCCGGCAAGGCTGGTGCCCGGGAGTCTGGGATCACCGCCGTGAGCAGGCCCCACAGTCGTGCAGACCTCAGAAGGGAGGACGCCCCAGCACCTGTGAGGCGTCAGGGGGCCTGAAGACCAGCCACGGAGCCCAGGAGCCCTGGAGGGGGAAGCAGATGGGGGCCTGGGGCTGGGGCCTGAGGAGTGACTGGGCTGGGCAGGGAATTTCATTCGAGAGTGATGAGGATGTTCTGGAACTAGGGATGGTGGTGGCACAGCCTTGTGAATGTGCCGGAAACTACTGGATTGTTCGCTTGACGGGGCAAATGTTAATGTTCTATGAAATATGTCCCCACGGAAGAAAGCAAGCGCCCCCCCCGCCCCCCGAGGCTCCCTGGCCTCCCGCGGCGCTGCGTGACCAGGGTCGGGTACGGCCGGGCCTCGTCTACACAGCGGGGCTGGAATGCTGTGGATCAAGTCCTACCATTCTGGAGGGATTCGACGAGACCCCGGCCAGCTCTCATTCATCTCTCTGATAAAGCCAGGACTCAACGTGATGGTCTAGCCTAAAGCAGGCGCAGCTTAGGGGGACCTCCTCGAGCCCCATAATCCCGCACACAAGCCGTCCCCGCCAAGGCTGGAGAAGCCCCAGGGATGGGTGCCCAGCACACCCCTAAGTCCTTCCCTCTGGCGGCCAGACACCCTGCCCCCTTGCTGGGATCCTGCGGGGCGGCCACGCCCTCTGGAGTTGTTCACACACTCCAGCATTCCAGGCCTCTGCCCCACCACCCCGAATCTCCCGCCCTGACTCCCCGCATCTCCCACCCTTCTCAGCTGCTCCCGGGCCTCCCAGGATGGCCGCAGCTCTCAGTGCTCCCTCTGCCTGGAATGCCCTCCTCCCACCTCTGCATGACCCCCTCACCTTATTTGAGATCTGCTCAGGGCCCCTCCCTCTCCACACTGGCCGTTCCCAGCAGCCCCACGAAAACCAGGCCTGCACCCCACACCGGCCCCGTGCCCGGTGGTATATTTGCTCTTCCAGCACTTGGCACAATCGGGAATTTTATTACATGTACTTCCCTGTTCCTGTTGACCCCACTGGCAGGCCAGCACCTGAAAACAGGAACCTTGTCCACTCTGGTCAACGCTGTGCAACTGTGGCCTTGCACTAGGGGGGATCTTACTGCAGACCTGGGGGGCTGGGTGGTGGACGGACAGGTGGGTAGATGGCTGGACGGAAAGGGGGGAGGCAAGAAGGGAGGAGGGAAGGAGACTGAATGGCCGGCTGAACGGGGAGGAAGGTAGATGGCCGGTGGGTGGACAGGTGAATGATGGGTGGGTGGTGGGTGGGAGGACATGCCAATGTCCCCTCCAAGAGCCAGGAGAGCCATGGAGTGGACATGGGCCTGGTGCACCATCCCGAGGCTAACTCCTCACTGGCCTACCCTGCATCAGGCTAAGAAACAGAAAAGGGAGGGAAACATCCTGGAGGGCCAACCAAACAGGACAAGCCGCGGCTCTCAGCCAGGAGCGCGCGGCAGAAGCAGGCGGGCCTAGAGACAGACACAAGCCTGGGTGCCCCAGAAGACAGGCTCCAAGGTCGCAGTGGGGCCGGCCGCCGTGACTTTAAAAGCTGCACAGGATCGCAGCTGCAGAACCAGGCGTGTGTGCCCGTGCCAAGGGCTGTTGTAAGGTTCTAGCTAACCCTACACACGTATTCCCTCGCGTAACCCTAAAACAACCCCAACGCAGGCGCCATCATCTCCTCTATCATCATCTCCATTTTAAGAGGCAGAAACTGACCCAAAGAGATCCAGGGCCTTGCCCGAGCTCACACAGCCCCTGAGCACGGGGCTAGAACTCAGACTTCAAGTCCTCACCCGGTGGCATTTACTCCTATTCCAGGCTCTGCCTGTACACCATGATGACCCCACTTCTGGCTAAAATACCGGCTCGGTGTGAAGACCCGGGTCAGCAGAGGCAGGGGTGCCGGTCCCATGGGAATGACAGCGGAGGCCGGGGTATGGGGGGGGGGGGCACGGGCACAGGCAGGGAGAAGGGCAGCAGGGACCTGTTCACAAAGGCTGGGGCCAACCACCCCACACCCCCCAGCCACTGAGACTGTGGGATCCCAGCCCCACCCAAAACCGGAGCTTTGAGCCATGAAGACACTAGACTCCAGAAAGTGCTGTCTTCGGTCCTAAGCAACCGCCCCCCGCCACAGGACAGAACATGTGGTGTCTGAAATGGGAGAAGAAACTTGAGCACCCACAGGGCCGTCGTGCGACCCCCTGGCTGACGTGTGAGAAAGGCTCGAACCCTCACACCACCAGGTAAACTCAATGCTACTGGTGACAAAACCTCATCTGACCGGGGACTCAACCACTGTACCTCCTTACCAGGAAAACTTCTGGTTTATTTCAAACATTTCACTTCTGCCAACAACTCCGGAGCCTGCTTGGTACATACACTGAAATGTTCTTTAAACTTGATTCTAGAAGCCCATGGAAAGAGATTCTAGCTGGCGTTCTACTGTTAATTTTCCAAGTGGCCCTGAGCTAGCTATTTACTATTGGGCGTCTCAATTTCATCCATAAAACATGACCATGTGACTGTCTCCACCCCTTTCCAGAAATAATAAAAACTCAATAGAATTCTTAATTGCACTGGACAGGTGCCAAGAGCCACCATTACAAGAAACAATATGAAGGTTCCTCAAAAAACTAAACTCAGAATCACCCTATGATCCAATGATCCCACTCAGGCTACGTATCCCAAAGAATCCAAAGCAGGATCTCACAGAGCCCTCTGCACAGCGGCATTATTCACAACAGGCCAGAGGTGGAAGCAACCCATGGACAGATAAAGAAAATTGTCTTTAGATAAGAAACAGATAAAGAAACTATTCCACCACCCGGTGGAATATTATGCAGACTTGAAAAGGAAGACCTTTTTAAGTTATTCTGGCACAGGTGCAACATGGCTGAACCTGGAGGACGTTACAGTGAGTGAGCAGCGCAAGGACGGGATGCTGAGGCCCGTAACCAAAGGACAAATGCCGTGTGACCCCACTCGCATGGAAGAGCCAACACATTCAGACTTACAGAGACATTATCGGAAAGGAGCTTACCCGGGGCCGGAGGGGGAGAGGGAGCTGGTGGTTAGTGGTGAGTGAGCACAGAGCTCCGTGCTGCAGATGAAAGGGTTCTAGAGATGGCCAGGCAGCACCCTGAACTGTGCACTCGTAAGCACAGGGTGTAAGTTCACCATCGTGTGCGTTCCACCACATTAAAAAGGGAAGAAAAAAGGCCCCCCAAATTCACTTGAAAATCACACTTCACGGGTCCTGAGGGCCTCTCCAGACACCAGCCCGCACTCATGCAAGCAGCTTCTGGAACACTCAGAGAGGAAAAGGCCACTTCCCGGGACTCACTTGCAACATAAAGGGCCACTTTGTCGTTGTCCTTGTGCCGAAGGAGGTTTTCCGCGTAGTTGAGACGGCTGCCTTTGAACCACTCGGGGACATCCGCGATCCCTTTCGACAGGTCCACCACCTAGAGAGAAGGCAGCAAGTCACGCACACGCGCGGGGGCCATGCAGGGGCGGTCAGTGGCGGCCCGCCCCCCAAGTCACTGACGCCCTGACCGGGGCTCCTTCCTCGCAGGCCGACACCAAACTAGCCTGAGGCTGGAAAGTAAGAGCAGAAATGAACGCCCCGTGGTTAGCAAGCCGGACTGCACGCCGGCAGGAAGCTGCTGCCAGTCGAGCGAAAGCGTCTCACTGCAATAGGAAGAAGAAGTTAACGACCGCGGTCTTGGTTATCTTTTTTTAAAAAAAGATTTATTTCATTATTTATGCATACAAGAGCTGGGCTGCAGGCCAGAGGTACGGGGGGGGGGGGGGGAGAGGATCCACCAGAGACAGAGTGGGGAGCAGAACAGGCAGATGGACCCAAACACACCGCTGAGGGGAGCAGCTGGGAGACAGGAGAGGTCTGCTGCACCATGTGGGCAGCTCCCTGGCAGGGACTGAACTCGTGCTGCTGTGGCTGTGGACAGCTTCATAGGGCTGAGATTTAACCCCTGCGCCACCAGCGAGACCCTGTCTTGGTTATCTTAACTCTCCCACCACCCTGATCTCGGGGTCATGCCCGGGGTCTAGGTCCATCATACCATCGCATGTGCACTTTAAATACTGTCAGCTGTTCCTCAATAAAGCTAAAAATAATGAAACGAGTTATTGGCAAGGGAAAACACCATCCCCACGAATGGACTCTCAGCAAATATTTACTGAGCACCTGCTTTATGACAGAGGTGGAGGATAGAAAATAAATAAGACCAACGTGGCACCTGCCCATATCCAGGCCCCCAGCACCCATGAGAACCAGGAGTCGGAGCTGTGCCCCCCTCCCAGGGCCCCTCCACCAAGGCCCGGAAGCCTGACCGGCCCCCATCAGGGACTGAAGCCTGGTCTTCTCTTCCAAGTGCGTAAAGATGGCCCTTCCCCACGGTGCACCCCCTAAGCAAACCAAACACACGCTCAGTGACACTCTGAATGACAGGACGCCCTCTCCCCGGGTATTGCGTGATTTGCAGCAGGAATTGAACGTTCTCGAAAATCATGGTGAAAAAAATAATTAAGCAGCCAAGGATTTAAAGAACAACAACGTGAATGCTCCTAATAACATCGCTGCACAGCACACTTTAACACGGTTAAGGCAGCAAATTAAACATTTTTTTAAACAAAATAGAAACAGAGCCTCGCTCTTCAGGGCCACTCCGGCTCCCAGGACAGGGCGTGCAGGCGGGCCCGGCCACAGGGTCGCCCACGAATCTAACGCCTTATCCCCGCTGGCGTAGGTTTTAAAAGGAAATACGATTCAGGCCCCCCAAAATTAACATGTCCTTTGGGAACATAACCTACAAAACAAAAGGTAACACAGAAGCAAGGCCTGCGCTCACCTCGTCATACATGCGCGAGAAGACGATCCCGCTGAATTTCCAGAACTCCGCCCAGAAGTCAGAGTAGGACTCCACCGACCACTGGTACAAGTCGTCGTAGTTTTCTGAAAACAAAGCAAAATGGCCCCTGGCTTAGAAAAGCCCAGAAGGCATCCGGCAGCTCCATAACAGATGGATCTGCCCCAGCACAACCGGGCCCCGGGGAGGGCCTCATGGTCAGCCAGCGAGCCCCCACCACGGTCCCCGGAAGGAACGAAGGCAAAGAGGCGCTGACCTGACGCCTTCCCAGCACATCTGTGCATGCGGGGGCGAGAGGCAGGGCAGGGAGCTGGCCGCCCCAGGGAAGGTGAGCGCCAGGGAGCTGACCACTGGAGGAGAGTGAGGTGAGTGCCAGGGAGGTGGCCGCCAGGGAGGTGAGTGCCAGGGAAGGTGAGCGCCAGGGAGGTGACCGCAGGGGAGGTGAGCGCCAGGGAGGTGAGCGCCGGGGACGTGAGCGCCGGGGAGCTGACCGCCGGGGAGGTGACCGAGCGTGACACCAGGAACGGAGCCAGCACCGGCGACAGCCGAGCGGAATTCTCTCGCTGCCGCCGACCACCTGAAGCCTGCCTCGTCCTCCTTGTCCCCAGCCCTGCCCCCAGTCACGCTGGACTCAGGACCCGGAGAGCGGATGGGGGCTGCGGATGGGGGCTGCCGGGGTCAGGCCCCTGGGGATCCAGAACATGGGAGGGAGCAGGACCGTGGCAGGGAGGCTGCCTGAATGAGGTGGGGGGAGTGGCCGGGAGGAGGCCAGCTGTGGTCATGGCCCTGGGGCCCCTCCAGAGAGAAGGGGCCGCAGACCCGAATATGGGAACAGGCAGCGGCAGGCGTCTGGGAGACGGGACCCTTGCTTCGGGGCCTCAGCAGGCCCATTTGCCTCTCTGGGCCTCAGTTTCCGCGTGTGTCACGGGGCAGGAACATGTGACAGAGCCGTCAGGTCGGGGAGGGACAGTCCCGGCCTCCCAAGGAGGAGGGCAGCCCTGGCCCGGGCCTTCCAGGGAGCAGCCCCACACGCGGGACAAACAGGCCTGGAGCTCTTCTCTCTCCCACAGCATTTTTTTTTTTTTTTCAACCACCCCGGCCCTCAGAAGCTGCAAAGCCCCGGAGCTCCCCCAGAGGGCACACCAGACGGACCGAGCTCAGAACCTGGGCGCCCCAAAGACTCAGGGTCAAGTGCCCAGCAGCAGCACCCTGGGGGGCTGTGCACCCAGCAGGACCCTGGGGTCACAATTGCGTCCTCCCATCATCAGGGCCCACGAGGCCAGAGCTGGACAGGCCAGCTGTGTGCAGAACCAGTCTCGCTGCTGGCCATTCGGCCAAGTCGTGGATCAGGGGTTTTCCAGGCCTCTGTGCCCCAGGCCCGTCCTCGCCCCCACAGGCGCGGCTGGCTGCAGGTTGTCCATAAAGAGACTGAACTAGGGCCTCCCCCGGTGGCACAGCGGGTTGGGCGCAGCGCAGTGAAGCTGTCTGCAGCCTCTGCAGCGTGGGTTCGATTCCCGGCCGGCCAGGGAGATGCCCACATGGCGCGACAGACCTCTCCTGTCTCCCCACTGCTCCCCTCAGCAGTGTGCTTCAGTCCATCTGCCTGTTCTGCTCCCCACTCTGTCTCTGGTGAATTCTCTCACCCCCCACACCTCTGACTGTGCCCAGTGCTTGTATAAATAAATAAATCTTTAAAAAAAAGAGAGACTGAACTAGCTATAACACTAAAGTCACAGCTTTATAGTCAATTTTGGGGGATCCCTGGTTTCTCCTAAGAGAGCATCTGGCCACGGTGGCCAGTGAGGGCCAGGATGTGACGCAGTGACCCTCGGGACCCCAGAGGTGGTGAGACACTACTGCTCCCGCCTCGTTGTTCTGGCAGGTTCCACAGCAAGAGGACTCCTGAAGGCCCGTGGAGACGGTGGCTCGGGACGGACCCCAAGCCACCACCGCCCGGCTAAGCCTCGCCCAGTGTGGGACCCTCGTGGACCAAGCAGCGCTGAGGGTTCACAGTCACCGTGAGCCTGAGTCCTGGGCGTACTGGCCAGGCAAGGCCACGTCCTGAGAAGCTTCATCAGACCATGCCTTCGCTGTGAGGACGTCAGGGTACACCCTCGGCCCTAGGCCCGCCCAGCCGCCGCCCACAGGAGGCAAGAACACGGGCCCCAGAAGCCCGCCGCCGTCCACCACTCACAGCCACAACGTGGAGGCAGACGTGAGCATCTCCCGAGGCCGCGCGTGGGGACAAAGGCAGGACGACACTAGCTGCTGCAGGCAAAGGGCCAGGCCAGGGCCCGGAGAAGGGCGGCGGTCACCAAGGGCTAACTGCCACTAATGTCGGGCGCCTGCCGGGCCTGCAGGGGTCTGAGCCCGCAAGCCCTGCTGTCCACCTCACAACCCCCCCCACCAGCGAGGATTCCAACCCGCCTCCACCCCCAAACCCCAGCCCGAGAGCTTATCGTCAACCCTTAGAAACAGCATCGGGGGCCCTGCGGTCAGAGAGGGCTGGGCGGGCCCAGAGCTGACGTGCAGGTCTTGCACAGGCTCCCCCCAAACTCAACTTGAGCTATCCGAGGACAGGCCCAGCCGTCTAAGTGGGCGAACAGCCCGGCGGCTCGCACACAGGGAGGCCCACAGCGCACTCGCTGCGTCACGCCGCGGGGAGCTGCCGGCTCTCCAGGGCAGCGTGGGCCCAGAGGACCCCGGCTGCAGGGCCCGGGAGGGCGTGTGGAGCCCTCGGGTGAGTCTGCCAGAAGCAGGGACATGGTCAAGCCAACCCTGGCTCTGGCCGCTCGGCCTCCTCGGCCCTGCGCCTCCTGAACCGCAGAACGCTGCTCCAGGGAGATGGGCTCAAGGAGAGGCCCGGGCTGGGGACCCTCAACCCACCCACCACCAGGGCTGGAGCAAGGCTGAGGCGGCGGGGGAGCCGGAGGCACCCAGCGCGGGGTGCAGGAAACACCAGCGGAGGGCGAGCTCGCTGAGCAGCAAGAAGGCGCCAGGCGGGGTGGGGCGGGGCACAAGCCCGAACCCCCGAACCCCGTGCTCAGAGAGGCCGGGAGGAGCGCGGTCCAGGGGAGGACAGCGCCCGGAGCAGAGCCCGAAACCTCCAGGGCCAGGCCTGGGGAGAGGGGGGCTCACCACCAGGCGCGGCAAAGGCAAAACCCAAGCTCTCGCTGCCCGCAGCCTCAGGGAGGAGCCCCCACCAGCCGAGGCGGCCTCGGGGACCCAGCCTCACGGGGCCCTGGGTTTTCACAAGAAGTAGGAGGTCCTGCTCGTCCTCGGCTGTGCCCCAGCCGGAGCTGCCCAACCCCTTCTGCAGGTCCAGTCTGGCTGGAGGGTCACAGCCCGCCAGCCTTGAGGGGTGCAGGGGTGGGTGCAGGGGTGTGCGTAGGCTCCCAGCCCTGGCTGGGGATCACCCACACACTCGCAGGGGCAGGGGCGTGCCGGGCCCCCCTCTGTGCCCTCACACCAACCACAAGGGCCCTCTCACGGTGCCCATTTTCCAGAGGAAGACACGGAGGCGGATCAGAGAGCTCCTCCTGGGCACACAACTGCTCAGTCGCGGAGCCGGTTGGAAATCCAGGTCTCGCCCACCTGGCAGGGCGGTGCGATGAGGAAGCATCCCGCAGAGCATGGGGCGAGATTAGCACCTGCTGAGGGGCAGGGGGCGGAGACCCAGGCGGGGCCCCAGAAGAATGGAGTCCGGGCTGCCTCTTCCTGGGGGACAAGCCTGTCCCTCACCAACACAGTCAGCTCACCTGGCTCTACCTGTCACTGCAGGCACCTGCCTCTGGGGGCTCACGCCCTAGTGCGGGGGCGGGCGGCCGGGAGGGGACCCCCCATGTGCGCAGGCCTGGAGGCGGCCAGGCGGCACCGCCTGCCATCCGCGGCCCAGCAGGGGCCGTTGTGAGCAGGACGGACCGTGCCCGCGGCTGGCACCGGCGCTGGCGACGGGGCGGCGGGAAGCAGGAAGCAGGAAAACCAGCCGCGTGCGGGGAAGAGGAAGCGCGGAGGTGCTGGCAGGGCAGGGGGGCAGGGGGGGCAGGAGGGGCAGGAGGGGCAGGGGGGGCAGGAGGGGCAGATGACTCAGGTCCCCACGGCTGGCGACTGGCGGCGGGACGCGCCCCAGCTCCCGGCGCCTGTGCCCGCGCGGGCTGAGGGGAGGCAGGGCCCGCGTGGACAGCCCTTGCAGGGGTGGGGCCCAGCTGGACAGCGGGGAGGGGCGGGGAAGGCCGGGAGCGCTGCTCCGAGGGGGTCCCTCCTGCCCGCCCGCCCCGCCCGGCTGCTCGGGCGGCCGAGGGAGCGCGGGCTCTGCCGGGAGCCGAGTGGCCGGCAGGGGCCGCCTCCGCCTGGCCATCCCGCCGGCTGCGGGGCCCGCGGGGGGGCGGCCGGCGCCCGGGCTGGCGGAGTCCGGGGTGGGACGCCCAGGGGCAGCCGCCCCCCGGCAGAGCGCCCGGCGCAGGATCCGCCGGCCCCGGGGCCGAGGGGCCCCCACGTGCGCGGGAGGCGCGGGAGGCGCGGGAGGAGGCCGGGGCCTGGGGGGAGACGAGGCGCCGCCCCCCGCGCGGCCGGCCCAGCCGCGGACGCGGCCCCGCAGAGAACGGCGGGGCCCCGCCCGGGAGGGCGCGGGGCGCGGGGACGCGGGGGGCGCGGGGCGCGGGGGGCGCGGGGACGCGGGGGCGCGGGGGGCGCGGGAGGCGCGGGGGGCGCGGGGGCGCGGGGGGCGCGGGGGCGCGGGGGGCGCGGGGACGCGGGGGGCGCGGGGGGCGCACTCACCCAGCGCCAGGCCGCAGGCGGCGCCCACGGCGGCCCTGAAGCGGTCCATCTGCGCGCGCCTCTTGCTGTCCGGCTCCCACATCGCCCGGCTGCCCAGGATCTCCTCCCGCGGCGGCTCCGACATGGCTGCGGCGGGCGGGGCGGGCGCGGGAGGCGGCGGGGCGGGCGGCCGGGCGCGGGCGCGGGGTCCGGGGCGCGGAGGGCGGGCGGCGGCGCGGCGGGGTGCGCGCGACTGAGCCCGGCGGGGCGGCCTCCGGCGGGACACCGGCCGCGCCCCGCCCCGGCCCCGCCCCGGCCCCCGCGCCCCGCCCCGCCCCCCGCCCGCGCCCGCCCCCCCGCCCCGCCCCCCCGCCCCCGCGCCCGCCCCCCGCCCCGCGCCCCCGCCCGCGCGCCCGGGGCGCCAACCGCCCGCGCCTCTTTCATTCCCCGCGCATCGGCCCCGCCTGCGGGCGTCCCCCGCGCGCCCGGGGTACCCCGCGGGCCGGCCCCTGCGCGGGAGACGCACCCGTGGCCCCGGCTCAGCGCGGCGGCGCCCCCACCGCGCCTTGTTCCCCTCGCGTGGCGGCGCCGGCGTCGGGGGTCGAGCGGGGGAGGGGGGTGGGGGCGCTGCGCGAGGGGTTCCGTCCAAATGGCGTGTGGGGAGACCCCGTGAAGTGAGGGGACGTGGGGGCCACAGGGCGGGGGAGGGGCCCCGGCCGCGGGACGGCGGGTGCTGGGGGGGCGGGTGCTGGGGGGGGTGCGGGCCGGGGCGGCCTCTGCCGTGACTGCGGGACGGGACGGGGCGGCCCAGAGACGGCGGGAGGCCGGGCCGGGCCCGGGGCCCACTGCAGACGCCCTGACGGGGTGACCCGAGGTCAGGGAAGGGTTTTTGAGCGGAAGGGCTGCGTTTCGATCCCGTTGTAACGGAAACCCCCGGCTGCCAGTTGAAGAGCAGCCTTCAGGGAGCAGTGACCCGCAGGGACTCCCCGAGGGCCTCCTCCTCGCGTATTCTGACAACCCCACCAGCCCCCCGTCACCGCAGGGGTTCCAGCTTGAAACAGGGTGCCTGCTCCCAAACACGCTTCTGAGAACACCCCTCCCTCGACCTCCACCCAGCTGTGGGGTGCAGGGCTTGTGGGAGTCTCCCCCGCCGCTGCCCAGGAGGTGCATCTCGGATGGGTTCACCACGCGGGGATGCAGAATGCACCGGAGTGAAGGGCTGGTTGTCCCCGCAGGGTCTCCAGTGCCTGACCCAGAGGAGGAGCTCAGGAGACACCCACCGGTTCCGCGCTCACTCAGGAAGGCCCGGTGAGATTCCCGCCTGCCGTGGGCAGGCCGGGGGACCCAGTGGACAACCTGGGTCCAGCCAGCACAGGACACAGGCACCCAGACCTCATCAGGGGGTGACCGGCCCTCATAGCTCAGGGATGGGGTTAGGCTCCCATCCTGGCGGCCGTCTGAGACACCCCTCACACCTGCAGCTGGCCCACCCCCCACACACACTCAGCACCTGCAGGGGAACCCAAGGGAACCCAGTTTCGACCCAAATAACTGGGCACTTTGTCCTCACCCCCAGACACATACATGACTTGGGAGGAGCCCTTCCCCTTTCATGGCTGCCCCGTATCCCTCATGAGATCAAAAAATGGGGAGGTAGAGATTCAAGATCATGCTCCCCGTTAAAAATGGGAGCAAAGCTGGGGGCCATTCTTGATCAAGAAGATGGTGAATAAAAAAATAAATAAATAGGGCCTCCCCGGTGGCGCAGCGGTTGAGCGCTGGGTTGCGAAGCTGCCCGCAGCCTCTGCGGCGCCGGTTCGATCCCCGGCTGCTCCCCGGCCACCGGAGGAGGGTCCCACATGGCACGCAGACCTCTCCTGCCGCCCGCTGCTCCCCTCAGCAGTGTCCTTCGGTCCTTCTGCCTGCTCTGCTCCCCGCTCTGGCTCTGGTGAATTCTCTCGCCCTCCCGCGCTTCTGACTGTACCCAGTGCATGTATAAACAAAAAAACAAACAAACAAATAAATAAAACATGCCTCCATAAAAAAAATAATAATAAATAAAATAATAAATAAATAAATAAATAGAAAGAAGATGGTGAATAAACAGCAACTGTCTCAGGGCTTAAGCAACTGGGATTAGTTGTCGTCACTTTCTGCCAAACACTGAAACAGCCACAAAGTTCACTCCCTTGTGCTTTGCTTGAATGGGCTTTTTTTTTTTTTTTTTTTTTGCTTTGAGGTGTTCATCACCCACATACTTGGCGTGACTACCCACCATCGGTAATAACAAAGAGGGTCAGCGCCCCAACCGAGACCCCCTCCACCACCACTGCTGTGACCCAGGGTTCACAAGATGGTGAAGGGGCTGGGGGGGGTTGGGGAGAAGAGTAGAGGATCCACCCAAAGGAAGTGAGGCATCCAGCCCAGTGTTGATCTTTGGGAAGAAGCTTCCAGACAGCTGGCATATCAAGCGCAAAGGTCCTGAGGCAGCTTGGCATAGACAAAGGGTAGCTGCCATCTGCTGGGTAAGGACTGGATTTTATTCAAAGTGTGATGAAAAGCCATGTGGGAAGGTTTGACCAGGGGAGTCATGGGACATACATTTTGAAAGGACTATTCTAGGTGTCCCGGGGAATAATGGAAGTGGGAGGCTGGGCTTGGGAGTGGGGTGGAGTGCACATGAGTCACAGAAACACTGCGAACACGGACGTGGGCTGTGGGGATGGCCTGGGCTGGGGTGGAAAGGTGGAGGACCCTACGAGTATGTAAATCTGCACTGCCTTGGCAAGGTAATCCAAGAGACGATGTTGCTGCATTAGATGGGCAGCCGGGACCAGATGGGAACACGTTTTAGCAGAAAAACAATTTTCTCCAAGTCATAAACAAAGGAGACAGAAGTCAGCCCAAGGAGAAAGGGGAGAAGAACCGAAGAATGGAGAGGTCTGTCTCCATCGCCAGGGCTCCTGGCTCTACCCAGCACACAGCAGAAAGGCCGGTGAAGGCCAAGTTCCCTGGGTTTATCAGCCAAACGGTTGCTTGAAGAGTTCTCTGGTTTCCATGGTGTGGTTGCCTCAATCCTCCCCGTCCGCCTAAGGGGCTGTGGAAATTGGGTGGATGCCAATGCACCCCAAGTGATGTCCCCAAAGTTCAGCTCTCCCACCTCTGCTCCCGCCCTGGGGAAAAGCAGACATGTGGCCATATCCCAACATTCTCAACAGGGCCGGGAAGGCGTGAGCACGGCCTCTGCAGGCGCCGCGCAGCCTGTGAGCACGCTGTGCAGATGTGTCTGCTCCGGCCAGTCCAGCCCAGGCCAGCTGCAGGGTCTCTACAGCAGCCAGATGCAGGCGGACTCTCAGAGTAGCGCATGGTGGAGGAACAGAAAGGAAAGCAAAGAAATGTTTAGCACGGGCAGGCACCGGTTCGGCCATGAGAAGTCACCGGGGGAATCTAGGGACACCTAGACACTCACTCTTCAAACTGCACACGCTACCTTGTGTTTCCTATGCTTCACTCAACCTGAGACTCGAAAAAATAATGAAAGCAGGGCCCCCAAATTGTGATGATGTGAATGGCTGTTGTCTTCACCAAATCTGGATGAAAAATTGAGGACAAACTGAAAGTCCACATGTCAGAGAGTGGCTGATTTGCGACAACAGGGATGGAATTTAAGGGGAAATAAGCAAAATAAGTCAGCTCGAGGACAAAATCAAGCAAACACTGGGTGTTGTGTGGAAGACAAAGAAACAAAGCAAAGGAATAGATAGAATCAAACCCAAACAAATGCTTGAAATCTGGCTGCAGAACTGAAGCTTCCAGAAGGATGAGGGAGGCATAGGAGGGCAGGAGGCCAATGGACCAGGATGGGGTGATAACTTACATTTGAAGATAACCTAGAGGTATGACTCTGGACCCCTAAATCATACACAGTGTTGTAAACCAATGTCACCTCAATGAAAATCATTGAATTAAAAAAAATTAATGAACTATCCAATGACAAAAAATTCAAAAATATACAAGAGCATAGTTCATAAGACAAGTGGTCCGTAACATACAGTCCTAGATGCACAGTGAGATTGGCCAATAAACTGCCTCATTCTCAAAGTCATCATGGGGAGGAAAGACAATTGTAGGATGATTTCTACAGCTGTGGAAAATTCATGCCAGACACCATCTGTGTTAACACTTCCAGTGTGCCACTTTTATTTTTTCTGCACATACCTGTATGTGTCGGGAGAGAACAAGAAGGGTAGTGTAAGGGTTGAGTGATGACCTCCCAAGTCACATGTTCACATGAGACCCCTGACGATGACCCCAGCTGGTGGCCGAGGTTGAGACCAGAACATCCTGGATGACCCAGGGAGCCCACATCTAAAGACCAGCGTCCTGGGCCTCCCTGGTGACCTAGCGGTTGAGCCTCAGGCTATCACCCTGCAGCCTGAGTTTGATCCCGGCCAGGGAGCTACCCACAGGGTGCAGCAGACCTCCCATGTCTCCCCGCTGCTCCCCTCAGCAGTGGATTTCAGTGGATCCACCTGTTCTTCTCCCCACTCTGTCTCTGGTGAATCCTCTCACCCCCTGCACTTCGGGCCTGCACCCCAGCTCTTCTACACATAAATAAAATCTTTAAAAAAAAAGGACCAGCGTCCTAGGAGTGACCAAGGGAGCAGCCACGTGAAACGTGAGCATGAAGCTGAGGGCAGAGCAGGACGGTGACAGGATGAACTTCTGTTGTCTTAAGCCAACAGGCATGTGGCAATTTCTTTCAGGCCCTAGGAAGCAACACTGATAGTCGCTAAGTTCACAACGGTTCCCTCCAGGAGGGAGGCCCAGGCAGGAGTGGGGGCTCCTCGGGGGCGCTAAGCTTGTCTGCCGAGCTCCCACCTCCCACTGTGTGCTGGGTCCGCACTTGCTCCAGAAAGGCCTCTGCAATGACCACGCACAGTTTGTGTAAATGTTTTCCAAGTTGCACCTGTTGGGGAGGTGCCATGTCCCCCCACTTAGTGAGGAGCAGAGCTGAGCGCCAGGTGAAGCCATCTAGCACAGAAGGCAGGTGTGGGCTGAAGGCCACTGGCCTCGCGGCTTTGCACTTGCACTGGGGATGTGGGGGCTCGGAAGAGACAGAGGGGGAGGGGAGAACGGACCGTTACCTTGATTTG